GTACCAGCCGGGCCTTCTCTTTTGCTGATGCTGAGGGGAGAACATACACTGGTAACTGTCTGCCTGGCATGCCATCAGTAACTGTTTAAAATAACTGGAAGAGTTACGAGCTGGCTTACTGAAGGGTGGAAACTTCTAAGTCATTAAGGCCCCACAGAAAGGTTTCATTGTCTCCAAAAGTCTTCCTGTAATTTTTCAATTAAAAAGTGGCAACACTAGATGGTTATGGTACTCCACAAGTGGCCACCTTTGAGAAGGAAGAGCAATCAAAACATGACCTTCTCAGTTCCTTATAGACATAATGGAGGAGGTCATCCCATGCACTTTTCCAGGTCCTGTAAACCATTCAGCTTTTCTTCATGATCACACTTCCACAGTTATCTTTAAATAGCAATATCATTTGACCTCTTTCCGTAAAATAATGATTTGCCTGAGTATCCATTGCCAGATCTAAAGCCTTTTGATAGGGGTTCAGAAGACTTGGAGGAGATCAAATGTCCCCAGAGCTGGAATAGAGTTGGCTCTCTTATCTTCTTAGTGACCTTCCTAGGGAGCAGAGGTTATAGTCTGAGATATAATAGCTGAGGCCATTAATCCCCAGTGACAGGTTTTTGAGCTGTGGCCAGGCCATAGGACATTACTCAACAGTTAGTATCTACATGCCCTTCCTGGGAAGTACTAATGCATCCTGACAGTAAAGGATTTCCTACCAGCACTTGTGGGTCTCCCTTGTGAGCCTCCATAGGGAGGTCTACCAGGATGTTGCAGTCGTGCATGTGGCTGAGATTCATTCCGAGGGGTGACATGGGTGCCTATGGACGCCCTCTGCTTTGGTGGCCAATTATTAGTTGAAATAATCTGCAGTGTTTCCTCATGGAAGCAGCATTCTTCTATTCAAGTAATAATGATCTACCACTTTGTTACTAAAGGTGTTCCTCACCAATAGTTGTGGGGCTATACTTGTGTGGCCATAGCTAGTCTAGCATGACATAAACAAAGAAGAGTGCATGTGTCTTCTGGTGGCCAAGTGACAGGATCACAGCACGTACAGCATACCAGGTGAACACTTGCTGTCAGTGTCCTTCATATCCTCTCTGTACCTATCACAACTTAGTTTGGCTTTGTCTCAGTTACTTTTGTTTGTACAGAGATGCTCCATCATACCCGCTTGGGCAATGAAGGGTGTTTTCAGAGGATCCATCTGGAGCCTCTGTCTTTCCCAAACAGCATCTCCTAAACATTTAAAGATTTCCTTCTATTCTTGAAACTCTCCTATTCCTCTGTTGTTTTTATGATCTGTGCCTTTCTCTCCAACTTTGCGGTTATTAGCAGGAGGGTTACCCACCATAAAATGTTCAAAGTTTTATTCCCTGTACTAAAAATGTCTCCTTTCACTTAAAGCTCTTTTTCTTGCTGGTGTAATTCCATTAACTTTATCAACGTTCACTCTTGAGCCTGGCTGTAGTGGTTTAAGCTGAACCCAGGACACTGACTTGTTTATTTCTCCTGCTTACCCTGTCTTTTGAAATGTTTGTTTTGTAAATGCATCCTAACTTGGAGAAAAGAGAGATTTGGGGTTAGAGGTATAATCCTTTCCTATATCACTCTATTTTATCACAGGGTTGGAAGCATAGTCCACTAAATAGAGACCCACACAACATTGTTTTTATTCAGGGTTTCATGTGAATTAGTTCCACACAGTCTAGAGCAAGTCATTTACTTCGTTTTGCTTTGTTTTCACCAAATGTAAAATACGATTATAGCTGAAAATCAGTTAAGTATTATTACACAAGAGCTAAGTATTATTATTGGCCAAGCGGTATATCAATGTGTAATCTACCATTTCATATGAAGGAGGAGAGGACATGGTCTCAGACTTTATTTTTGGTTCATTCCCTTTTGTAAATTCAGGTCAGTCTATAAACATCAATTTGACTTTGCTTTCACAGTTTATGCTTAAAGCCATCCCTTAGCAAACATCTTGCTTTTCAGATACCTTAAGCCTACTGCAAACAAACAAATCATGGAAATTAAATAGTAATAATGCTGTTGTTAGCTTTGTATAATAAATTTTATCTACAATTTAAATGGCAAATATTTCCAGAAACTTGGTATTCTAGCCATACAAATAATGAAATTGGTTCCAGTTACAGACCATCTTTCTTTGGAAAGAAAATACCGGTAGTCTCTGAAAAATGGATTATTAAGGACTTTGGTTTGCTCAAAGTGGCTCATACGTTCTGTTTGCTAACACAGCATCTTGCTGGGAGAAAGTAAGTGCAGCTTTTCCCTAGCTCAGATTACTTTTTCCACAAATCTTTGGAGCAGGAAATAAAAAACAGCTAATAGTTGTGGGGCATGTGGAACGAGTTTAAGCAAAGTCAAACCCTGATCCTTCTGATGACCTCCTTTTTCCTCTGCTGTTTTGTCTACTCCTGCCTCAGAGTATGTCAACAAATTTTCTTTAAACTCAGAAGATGCGGGGGGGGAGGGGGTGGATATAGTGATTCTTTCTCTGTCTCCTTCTGTCTTTGAGGGTTTTGTGGGGTTCTTTTGGGGAATGATTTAAAACAGATGTATTTTTTTTTAAAAAAGGGTATTAGTTTGTCTTGTAAAATATTTGTAAAGAAAAACAGCCTCAGGACCTCTGAATGTAATCTCAGTTCTCGAAATGTCACAAAGGGAACTGGCTTTGTTACAGTGACAGTTCTTTTCTCAGACAAGTTAATTGCAAATCAATATAACTTTACAGAGAGGGAAGAATCTGTTAAATGAAAATGAAGAGGCAAAGTGTATACATATTTGAAAAGTAGAAAAATACCTGTGATTTCTGTATCGTTTATTGTTCGCTTCTGCCGTATGAGAAAACAGTTTATTTTCATGTTTCTCCAGTATTGGAAGTATGTGTTTTACACGAAGGAATAGAGCAGGTATCTCTTTCAAAGAAACATGCTGGATATATGCTGCACGTCTTCACAAGCTGTATACCTGAGGACAATAACGGTGTCATTCCAAGGCTTCAAGCATATAATAAATATTAAGGAAATAACTTCACAGTGTTGCTGTGCAGCACTGGATGGAGTTGATATCAGTTTTTGTGTTTATGGTCATCCTCAAAAAAACAAAGGTACTTCTTCACGATGTGAATAATTATTAATCTTAACTTAGAACATAAGTTCTTTCACTTTGCCTGAGAAACTGGTGGTTTTTCTGACTGAAGTGTTTGGGTTTTGAAATTATAATCAATCATTGGAAGTAGTTCTGCCATCTCTGTCTGTTTCATGATTGTGTATTTTAGTCTATATTCTGTACCTAAACACTTTCAACATCTTCACAAGAAATCTTGACAATGTAGTTTCAGAACCAGTGTTGCTGAAGTAACTTTAGATGGTTAAATGCTAAATGATGTTTTTCTCATATGATCTAGTTTGTTAAGATGTCAAAAATGGCAACAATATAAGTGAACCAGTATACTGTCTGCTAATTAATCATCAGGAGAAGAAAATAAAACTGAAATGCAACATATGCTAATTTCTTTGGTGCTGGTCTTTGGAGTCAGTTACAGAGACTGTTGTGTGGTTTGTGATGGCAAAATGTTGAACAACTTTTTTTTTTATATATTTTGCTAATCTTGAAATACTTATTTTTCTATTTCTTATTTTGAGAAAACACTAATCACATTCAAACTAGATGTGGTAATATAGCATCAATCCATTGGAATTGTTGAACATAAATTTTTGACATACATGGAATCTGAGAAAAAAATGAAGAGAAATTGTCTTTTTTTTTTTTTCCATGGTGATGTGTCATTTTAATCCCATGTAACACAATGTTTTGTTGAGATTGCTGTTGGCTCTGTGTGGATTTGGTGCTGCAGCCTGTCTAGGCTTAGGAATAGCGTAGCTTTTTGAGGAAAAGTGAACAGGTCATTGGAGCAGGACAAAGCCCAGTTGAGGAATGGTCCATGGAGTACATTGATGTACCCAAGCAGCACCTTGTTGGGTTCTTCTAGGAGGCAAAGTCTGCTTGAGTTGGCAGAAAGGAGGACAAAGACCCTGGAAACTACTTTAATGAGGGTGGCTTCTGCTTTTGAGGGACAAATGGTCACTCTGTTCATGAAAAAACTCTCACATTTTTAAGGGCACAAAAATTCTTGATCAATAAAAATACAAATATGGTTAGACTTCTACATTAATATACATTGATGGCTTTGTAAATAAAAGTCCAATAGTGTATAGAATACCTGAGTAAGTAAGGAGGTAATTAAATTACTTCCTACAATGACACCTCACCCTACATTTTTCATTTTCTCCATGTCTGAGATGTTATTATGCTTTTGCAGTATGGGCTGCACTAACCATATTGTAAAGGCAGTTGGAGTTTCATGTCCCATGTATTTCCTGCACAGTGGCACTTGAATATTAGAAAGCAAAAATGAGAGAGAAAACAAGTGTGCTCAACAGCCAAGCAGAAAGGTAGAACAGATGATGATGATGGGGGCATAGGTACATCTGACAACTTAAACACAGAAATGGAGCCAGAGGGGATCATCCCTGTAAGAGCTGGGTGTTTCTGGTTTTTCACTCAGCACCTCCCACAAGGAATGTTCATCTTCCTGGTGCCTACAGCAGCACAAGGACCAGCATTTCGACAGAATGCCCCCATTCCTCCTTTTGTCTCTTACCACTTGAAAGAGTGCACAACATAGGAGGCTGGCACCTTCAACATGTTTATAAGCCAGAGACCTGGCTTATTGAAATACATATTTTTGAACTAATGCAGTGACAAACAAAATAGTGTGGTGCTCAGCACATACTCTGTATCATACTTACGGTCAATACACACAAATACACAAGAAAACAATTTCTGATTACCAGGTTTTACCAATTACTTTTAGATGAGTATGTAACGTGCACTTTTGAAACTTAACTGATGGATACGTGGTCCTTTTCGTACAGTCAGAAATTATTTTATTCAACTACTTTTAATCTTTTCTTTAGGACAGTGAAAAGAAAGGGTTTATGAATAGACTTTATGCCATCCAGGAGGTGTGTATCAGTGTCCAGAATATCCTTGATGAAGTGGCTTCCTTTGGAGAAAGAATCAAGAAGTAAGTGCTAACACAGGTGATGGATTGCTCTCCAATACTGTTCATGTTCTTTTCAAGTTGAAGTACCAGGTGCTAGACCTTTACTCTTTTTTATTTTGTTTACTCTATTTTATTTATTCTTTTTATTTTGGAACTCCAGTTTTTGATGATACATTGTTGAAATTCATCATATTTCCTTTTCTTTGTGGACACCCTCAATTAATGAAAATCCTGTCATATTAATTTTGTAATTTAGAAATACAGAAATTGGGTGGAAGAAAATAATAACAAAGGCATTGAAGTAAAACAGAAACTTGATGTGAGACCTAACAGTAGTTATTTAAAAAAGTAATAATAAATAATGCAGCTTTGATAAAGGAAATAAACAGAGCTGAGTATGGGTTTCAGATTTTAAGGATGTACATATGTTCAGTTGCTGGAAGTGTTGGCAAAACCTTTGTTTCTAGAGTACTTGTAATTTGTAGCACTTCCTACCTGATATATAAGAATTGCCAACAAATTTAGGCCTTAAGCAAGATTAGTTCTGAGATTTACCACAGGAAGTTTGGTGTAGTTTTGGTATTGTCAGTGAACAGCAGTGTAACATCTATTACTGGAGATCAGAAGTGTATCAGAAAGATGTCTTCCAGCCATCAGCTGTGACACTGGCTTTCTGCCCCTCAAAAGGCAAGAGCATCTCATCCTTGGTGGGTGAGACATCAGAAGCAGCATGTTGGCAACCACCTTTTGACTGCAGGCAGAGGGGGCAGGAAGACAGATGAGCAGGGAGCTGTGCTGAGTTAGAAAACCTGCACAAGAGGCTTTGCTGTAAATCTTGCACTGGTTCATGCAGCGCATTTTACAGGAGAGTTAAAGCCATGTGCTGCCTTGTTCTGGGTGAGATCTAGCAGTGTGAGGCACCTGCCTCATCCACTGCTGGTGCCATCTGCAGCACACTGATGTCTCACACCTCTGAGACCATAGCCTATGCAAGGGGTATGGCCCCCAAATAAGTACTGACTTCTTAGTGGATGAGGTCAGCCTGTAGGAGACATGAGGATCATCTCTCTTGCTGTTCTGCCTAATTTTTTTCCCTCCAAATCTATCAACAATGGCAAGCATATCAGAATTCAAGAGGAGGTTGTCATTTTTGCATTTAAGATCAAAGTCCCTAACAGGAAAGCTTGGGAAGCATTCCCATGAGGACACTTCCAGGCAGCCATGTTCACAGCAGCATGGGTAGGTGCAAGCACATTATATTGCATGACTTTTCCAGGCAAACAAAATGAGCCTGTGTCTGAAATAAGTCTTTTATCAAAAGGCTGCTCATGGAAGTTGTCTTGATGATTAAGTTTTTCTAATTGTGCATTTTGGAAGTAGGTCTTGTTCTATTATATACCAGATGAGAGCAACAGAATTTTCTAAACTGAGTGAGCCCAAATCTTCCTATAAATCTTTGTAATTTGTTCCTGAAACTATAATGGGAAACCTGTACTGAATGCTGTGCTAACACAGCACATAAGGAGGTTTGCTAAGTGAGGAGCCAGTGTTCCCACACATGGTGTGTCTGTGATCCATTGCACAAAGCCGAGTCACAGGAACATGAGCAGACCCTCAACCTTCTGTTCATCCCAAATGCCTGCAGAAGAGGGGAAAAGAGCAGGTGTCCCCTGAGGAGAAAGGGAGTGATCCTGCACCAAGTGACGCTAACATAATGTTCACTCTGGAGACATGTCAAAATTGCCAGGGAGAAAAGAAGACAAATAAACACAGGAAGCCAGAGCTCATTATGAAAAATATGGCTAGCAATTCAGATAATTGCAATTATTCAGCCAGAGAAGCCAAAATAATGTAATCACACTGATTGGGGATGTAGCTAGTGATAATACTTTAAAGAGTATCATCAGGCTACTTAGAGACAAAGCCACATTTTCCTTTTGGATAAATGTCATGCAACACTTCTGACATGGTGGTGCCTTCATGGAACAATCCCATTGAGCCAAGCTTCCTTTAACCAGTGTTCCCGTGGGGCATATATATAAACTGGCCATCTGGCCTCCCTCTCCTTCCTGCACACAGAGGTTGGAGAGCCACAGCGTGGCTGTTTCAAGATTCCTCAGCTTTCAGTTCCTCTCTGTCACACCTCAGACTCTGCCAAGTGAGTTGATCACAGCGTAGGGATTGGGACCCTCAATGAGGATGTTTTAATCTGGGGCTTTCTTGGAAAGGCAGTGTCCTGAAACTCTGATGTGATTCCAGAAGTTCTCTTCCTTTGTCCATAAAGAAATAATCATCTGTTTTATTTTATCTGGAAGATAAAGTTTTTCTTTGCTTTTCCTGCAGTTTACTTTGTCTTGTTCCACTCCCTCTTTTTAAATCCTTCTGTCATTTTTCTCCTTTTGTTTTTTTTCCCCCATGAAAATTTTTTTTATTTCCTTCCTTCCTTCAGTGCTGTTGAATTATCCCTGTCTACAGAACGGACTGTTCTGCACTCTCCTTTTCCCTAACACTCTCGTTCTTGGGTGCATGCATGAATTTCCAGCTTTGCATACCCCCACACTTGCCTTTTCCTGAATGTACCCCCAAGACAGAAGGGGTCTTGGCAGAGGAGCACATGTAAATGTCAGGCAGAAGGGAAGGTCACTCCTCAGACTTTAACTGCTTTCACTGTCCTTACAATAAAGCAACGTGGAGATAAGGCAGTGTGTGTTTTAGCACAGAACCACCTGTGTGCTGGGCTGCACCCCCAGACCATGAGCAGCAGATCAAGAGAGGGGATTCTCCCCCTCTGCTGTGCCCTGGGGAGACTCTCCCTGCAGTCCTGATCCAGCTCTGGGGCAACAACACAAGAGGGACATGGAGCTGCTGGAGCAAGTCCAGAGGAGGCCATGGAGATGCTGCAAGGGCTGGAGCAGCTCTGCTCTGGAGACAGGCTGAGAGAGCTGGGCTGGTTCAGCCTGGAGAAGAGAAGGCTCCTTAAGGGGAGACCTTAGAGCAGCTCCAGTGCCTAAAGGGGCTACAGGAAAGCTGGAGAGGGGCTTTGGACAAAGGCCTATAGGGACAGGATAAGGGGGAATGGCTGTAACCTGACAGAGGGGAGATTGAGGTGAGCTCTTAGGCAGAAGTTCTTCCCTGTAAGACCCTGGCACAGGTTGCCCAGAGAAGCTGTGGCTGCCCCATTGCTGGCAGTGTTCAAGGCCAGGTTGGACACGGGCTTGGAGCAGCCTGGTCTAGTGGAAGGTGTCCCTGCCCATGGCAGAGGCTTGGAACTGGGTGAGCTATAAGGTCCCTTCCTCAAGCTGGGCTTGAGATGTGCCATTCCACAGGGAGTGCATGAAGCTGGGAGCTCTTTCAGGTTCCACTGGTAGTGGGCCCAAGCCCATCTCACCCTGATGTACAGCATCCATGTATTCATTTGTAGTTTCAGTCTGTTCTCACTGATGGAGCTGCTGCTTCTCCCGCTGTCCTGCCCATTATTTGTTCTTTTATTGACCCTGTTGGGTGAGCACATTTCTGACTTCTGTTAATTTTGCTTTTAGTACATTCAACTGGACTGTCCCATTCTTGAGCTGGCTGGCAATTGTTGCCCTCTCCGTGTTCACCATCATCCTGTATTTCATTCCGCTGAGATACATTGTCCTTGTCTGGGGTAAGTAAAGTCTCTTTTAACTGTCTGACCACTTAGAAAAAACTGTTCTTTAAGGGATGACTTACATTGTCAGTAGTTTTCTGTATTTATGATCTTGAAGCTGCCCCATGATGGAAACAGACAGGTTAGTTAAAAATCACAACTGTGTAAAGATTTAGGCCCACCTGCAAAATGCATTTTTCTTGGCTGGCATTCTAGACTTCATCATGCTATAAACATGTAGCCATGAGGATTCTTCATATATCAAATTGTAGCTTTGTCTAGATATTACTGAGATTTATTTTCACCACTTATACACAGACAGAGGCATTTCAATCTATATAATATATTTAGGACAATATGCCTTTTTTACTGCAGTACTTTATCTTCGGAAAGTGTATGTAAACAAAGCAACGAGAAACCTGTGTAAAGGGTCACCTTTAGACAGACAGAAAGGTGTATGTGGTATTTGGTGTTGATAATGAACAGAAACTGGCAGGGCATTGGGTGGGCAGCAGGATAGAATCATGATTGATCCAAGTTGTCACTACTCTTGTCCTTATATTTATTCTTTATACTGATTTTAAACAGCTACTGTTACCACATCTGTCATAAACAATGCCCGAAGTTTTCATTTGTATATTTTGTATATACATTTGTATATTGTATATACATCTTACAACACCAGCAGCTGTACCCTTATTCCGTAATGCAGACTTGTGAAGAGCATTGTCCAGTTAAATCTGGGGCTAGATTTTCTTTCTGAAGAAAAGAATCACTATAATGCCTTTGTGAAAAATTTCTGAATTTTAGAGACAACATAAAATCATTGAACTAACAAAGAATGTAATTTTTGTACATCAGTCAGTATTATTAATATTCTTACAGAGCCTTCACAAATAATTGTAGCAGAATATACAAAATGGAGAAGAAACAATAAGGAGGATTTGAACGAAAGTATTTCTATGGAATTAAAAGATGCAAGAGTGCGGGCTTACTGCCCTTGCCTGTCTTGGAATTTCACTTATTCCTCACATACTCTATATCACCTGGGTGCAACCTAGCACATACACAGTATGGTAGGCCTCTTGTTACTGAAGTTTGAAGTACTTGGTCTGTATCTTTTTTTCTGGTGTTTTTTGGGCAGATCTGGCATCTTGTACACTTGCTTTAATATATCCCCTTAATTTCATGCAAGAAACCTGAGATTATAATACCCACAAAACTATAATCAGCATTTTTCTATTAAAAACTCCTGACTTGTACCCCTGTGATACCCCTGGAGGGGGTCACACACACACCCCCCCCAAAAAAAAAAAAAAAAAAAAAAAAAAAAAACCAAAATGTCTGTTTCAGGTAAGGAAGAACCCCAACTCCCAAACTGGAGCCCATGCCTCCCAAACCACAGATAGATAACATAAGCACAAATTATTGTAAATGCATCTTGCTCTCTTCCCCTCCCCATCTCTTCTCTTCCATGTCCCCAAGTTACCTAGTCTATCTAGATTCAACTTCAAGCACCTTTTTGCATAGAGGTTTCAGGTCCACGTTTTCCTCTTGCATTTCAGTTTAGGTGACTTCTTACTCAGCAAGTGTATGGGGATCTCTTCTTTTTTTTCTATATTTCTCTTGCACTGTGCCAGGAGAAATGTACTGCATAGCTGCAACTCCAGCAGCCTAGATCTCATTGGGGTGAACCATGTTCGCACAGAGCCATGTCATGCTGTGTGTAGCTTTAAGCAGCTGCCTCTTTAAAAAATGCGTATTCTAAACACATGCCTGTTTTCTCCGTTATTGTGTATTTCTAGCCTCCCCTGTGTATATACATTTCTTCATACATCCTGCACTTGGAAGAAAATTACCTTTGTGGTCTGACTTTTGTACACAGGAAAGTTTGTTCTGCTCTATAGTAGCATCACCCATTTCGTTGTTTGGGAAGTCACAGGGTTTTAAATGAAAAATCCTCCGTGTTATGGCTGGTCTTTTTTATAGCTGTCTTTCTTCTGTGCATCCATAGGGACTGCCTCTTTCAGCCTGGCCTGGAATGAAATTTTAGTTCTGTCTCTCCTGAACATGCTTCTCCCTATGGAGACTGCTGGTCCTTCAACATGTGGTGCATTAGCCACGATAGAGCAGGAACCACCTCTGCACTCTAATCTCATTCATTGAAGTGCAGACTCCTGGTGATAGCTACAGCTGTTTATCTGGAAAAGATTCTAAAGAAAATTACTTTCATCAGAAAATTTCCAAACTTTTGGAAAAGACCTGATCTGCTTGTTGTATTTTACTTCTCTGGTAGCATCCCCCTCTCATCTGGTCAACACTTTTCTTTTCTGAGCCTTGACTGTGATTTATTCATGCCTTTGCTTTCACAGCATGACTGGTGCTTTATCAGATGGGACAAGGTGAGACTGTATCACCCATGGGTGGTCCAGTGGCCACGTGCAATGAACAGTGGGGCAGACCTTGAGTTTCTCAATCACTTGCTGATGCAAAGGACCCTCTTAAACAAGGTGTTCTAATCTCAGATATTCCTTCTCGGCACTCACTGTTCAATCACGAGATAAAGGGATGGCAGCATCTCATATCTGCACCACAGAACTAAGAATTCATGCAGTTGAAGGCTGTGGGTGTTATCGAGACTGCAGCTTGTATGCTCCATCCCAAAGCTTTATATCCTTGCAAAAGCTTTCCAAAAGGCTTGGGAACCAAAGACTTCATCGAAGAGAAACTGTATTATCTTACCTCTGATACAGCCTGGATAAATTACACAGGATGGCACATTTGGAATGCTGCTCTGGCTTTCTCCCACTCACATGAGTCTGTGCAGTTTGTACCATTCCTGCCCATGCTTCAAACGTGTGTCCACTGAGCCCATGAACAAGGTTCTCAAGTGAAAAGTGAATGAACCTGACCCAGCATGTAATTACAAGGAAATTAGTTTAATTTAAAAGCCTGCTTCCTGCTTAGTTTGGGGAGGATTTTGTTGGTACTTCTGAGCAGTAATTGTCAATAGACATTGTAAGACCATGATGTATGAGGAAAATATCACGTCCCTTCTCTGCACCATCATCAGCTCATCTGTATCTGACATTCCTGCACAGAGGCTTGTGTAAACTCATCCTAAAGCCTCCTCCTGCAGACTTTGCTGCTTCCTGTATGCTTCCCCATCCTTAGCATTAGGAAGATTTACTTGTATCTAACCTGAATCTTCTGCCCTGCAATTAAGCCTGTTACTGCTCATTCTCTCTGCTACAGAAATCGAGTACACTTTATTCCTCTCCTTTTTGTAACCTCTACATAACAACCACACGTTTTTTACTTTACAAAAAAAGAAAAAAAAGTATTCGAGGAATTTGAAAATGTGCCTAGAACTTTTGCATTTTGAAGCAGAGGGAACCGCAACAGCAGATTACAACTTTTAGAGCCTAAGTTTACAATTCGTTCATTCATTAATTCAGTGCTAATGTCAGACTTTAAAATGGATCCTAATTTTTTTTTTAAAACTTTGCCAAGAAATATGTTGATCTGGGTTTTTTTAATGGTCATAGTAACATTTGAACTTTCACTTTTGTAGGTATCAACAAATTTACAAAGAAGCTTCGAAGTCCGTATGCAATTGATAACAATGAGCTACTTGACTTTCTATCCAGAGTTCCTTCAGATGTGCAAGTGGTGTGTATATTTTTAAAGCGTCCTTATGGCAGTTAATTTGATATGTGGCATCATGACTTTCTGGGTTTTTTTAAACACATTTTGAAGCAGTTATTTTGATTCAGTATTATATTCTTTAGCACAGAAATTGCATATTCAAGCTTAGGAGAGTCTATGGACATTAAGGAGGTTGCTAGACCTTTTTCCAGTGAAAAAGTCACTGCTGCCTTAATTGTGCCTTTGAGGATCCTTTGGAGCAATCAGTAAAAAGGCAAGTAGATGGGTGACAGTAGCAGGGGCTACAGTTTGTATTAAGCAGCCTCCAGCCCCATGTGAAAATGTCTGGGATAAGGCTGAACATGAGCCAGCTTGTGCCCATGAGCCAGCTTGTGCCCTGGCAGCCAAGCAGGCCAAGAGCGTCCTGGCCTGTATCAGCACCAGTGTGGCAGCAGGGGCAGGGCTGATCAACCCTCTGTACCGGTCACTGGTGAGGCTGCACCTTCAATCCTGTGTTCAGTTTTGCACCTCTCACTACAAGAGAGACATTGAGGTGCTGGAGCGGGTCCAGAGAAGGGCAACGGAGCTGGTGAAGGGCCTGGAGCACAAGTGTGATGAGGAACGGCTTAGGGACCTGGCGGGGTTTAGTCTGGAGAAGAGAAGGCTCAGGGGCAACCTTACCGCTCTCTACAACTACCTGAAAGGACGATGGGGCCAGGAGGTGGCTGGTCACTTCTCCCAAGTAACAAGGGATAGGACAAGAGGAAACGGCCTGAAGCTGCACCAGGGGAGGTTTAGACTGAAGGTTAGGAAAAACTTCTTCTCCAAAAGGGTGGTCAGGCATTGAAACGGGTTGCCCACAGCAGAGGTAGAGTCACCACTGCTGGGGGTATTTAAAAGGCATGTAGATGTGGCACTTGGGGACATGGTTTAGTGGTGGCCTTGGCAGTGCTGGATTAACAATTGGACTTGATGTTCTTAAAGGTCTTTTCCAACCGAAATGATTCTGTGATAATATGATTCTAAGGTTCTGTGTAGGAAACTTATTGTAGGCTTTCAATACCTTATGAGGGGCAACAAGAAAGCTGGAGAGGGGCTTTTGACATGGGCCTGTAGGGACAGGAGAGTCCCTGGCAGTGTTCAAGGCCAGGTTGGATGGGGATTGGGGCAACCTGGTCTAGTGGAAGATGTCTCTGCCTGTGCAGGTGGTTGAAACTGAATGAGCTTCAAGGTCCCTTCCAACCCAAACCATTCTGTGATTCTGTATTGCCTGGCACCTCACCTTCAGTCACCACATTTTTAAGACACTATCAGCTGTTTACGTATGCTCAATATGTCATCTCTAAAGTCTGCCTGCTTGACTGAGTCTTTATGTGTGCATGGAGAGTAGGTCTGAAAATAATTGCTTAGGCCCAAATGGAAATTAGGCTCATGACTTTAAAATACAGAGAAAAACACATCATTGTTAAAAAAGTAGGGTTCAAAAAAATGAAACATGAAGGTCAAATGGCAAAAGAAGCTGCACCAACATGGAGTCACTGGTGGGGTTAGTTTGTCTTGTGGCAGCACTCTGAGAGCATTTCTGCCTTCACTTTCCTAGGGTGTAAGTTTTTGATATGGCCATAGTTCAGCTGTGCACATAAACTCCTTTAAAAATAAGCAGGTTGTGAATTACAAGCTTTTGTAATGCAGTACACAATCTCTTGAGGAGGTGCAACTGTTAAGATAATGTCAGGCACATAAATCACCTCCAGTACCTCAAGGATTACATACTTTCGACATTTCTAGATAGCAGTTTCAGTTCAGATCTGGTATAAATAGGAAGTATGGGTGCACATACCCCTCTGAATCTCATCCCCTCTGTGGCTGGCCTTTGAAAATAAGCAAGTTTTTAAGAAACGTTACAAAGGCTGTTCATCCAATTCATTAAAGAGGATACTGTTTATTCTCTGTTAAAGCTTATGGAGAAAACAAAAGATGTACCCTTCTTAAACTTTACTTCAGCACACAGTGTTACTTCCTGGCAGGATTTTCCTAGTGCTGTCTTGCCTTCTTACTCCAGATCTATCATTCTGTTGCTGTGGAATCACAGCTGCAGATCCCATTTAGTTTGCAGGGGAATAGTGTTCTTTTTCTTAAAAAAAATAGAGGTCTTTTTCTAGCACGTGCCACCTGACTGGTTTCTTTCTGAACATTGTGTTTGAACAGGTGCAATACCATGAACTGAAACAGGATCCCAGTCACAGTCCGAGCAAGAGGAAGAAAAACAACCCTGGCTAGCCATCTTCACGTGTTGAAGGGTCAAGCATCCGCTGGGGAAGGATAAAAGAAAAAGACTACAGCCTAAGCAGCATTTCCTTTCTCTCTTGAGCTTTTAATTTATTTTTCCTTTTTACCTAATGGGGAGATTTTGTAAATATTGTAAAAAGGCATTTCTCATTGAAGATATATTTCACATTGTAAAGACATTTGTTGAAGGTTTCAAGTAGGGTTTCTACATTCGAAAGCCCTATTAGATGCAGCATTACACATTAAAGGAATCCATCTAAAATGGTAAATATGCACAGCTACTTGGTGGTCAAAGGTACCTGAAATACTTAAATCATGCCGACTAAATCTGCAAAAGGTGTACATTTAAATCTGACTCAAAAAATTCAGTCAGATTTTATTTGTGAGCATTAAAATATTTTTACCCAGTAAGCCACCATTACGATTTTCTATGTTTTATACATTTCAACAGAAATACAATGTAGTGGTCCCTACTGCACTTAAGTTTTAGCAGATTTTTTCGAACTCCAGACCCTATGTTAACTCCTGGTGCAATGTTTTCCTGTGCAGGAGGGCTGCTTATAAGATAATGAGAAAAACCAAGTGCAAATCTCTTTCTGGAACTCCCAAAAGTAGTTCCTGATGTTTTTATCATTCCATTGTAAGACCTAAAAATCTCTGTCTCTCTCAAAATACTGCCAAGTTTGTAACTGATTGCCTATCTGATTTTTCTATATGTACCGGTAATCTTCATTTGTACTACGTAGTTTAGTGAATAAAGTTCATAATTCTGCTGTAATGGAAATACTATCAAACTAACTCCATATTGCTTTGGGTGTCATGCTATGAACACCTTCTGTGCACATAACTATTTCAATATGGAACCTCGCAGAAAATGTTTTTGCTTTCAAATCACAAGATCATATCAATATGCTTTATGATATAGCACATTACCTGTTACCAATGTGAAATATAGTGTAGAGGAAAAAATGCAGTTGTGGTAAAACTGATATACTGGTTTTATTTCCTTAGCTAATAATGTAGTCAATTCATCTGATACAGTTGTGCCCTACTGCATGGAAACTGCATTATTTTATAAATTACGTGGAACATAGATGAGAAGGTTTACATTTCAAATGTCTTAGTGGCCACTGCATAACGAGTACTTGGGGATATATTCTGGTAGCTGCATGTAGACTTCCATGCTCAGCTCCCCATGTAGTGAGCAGAGACTTCATTCCTAAGGTACTACCTGTGCACAGCTCTTAGCCATAGCTCCCGGCGACATGAAAGGGGATTTTTGCCCAGGCAGAACGTCAGGACTGCATCCTCAAGGGGAGCTGTTCTTGTGGTCCTCTCTGGGTTACCTCTTGTTGGTTGCAATTGCTGATAAAGTTATATTGCACTACTCTAACAATACTTTTTGAAAAGACTATTTAGAAATACTTTGCAAGCAAATGTATATATATATTTGTTTAAAGAATTCTGTGTTAGCTGCATTGCCCGTGAAAGGTCATCCTGAATTTGTTTATCTTAAAGATACGATGATAGCTGGTTTCTGCTGTGATGGTTATTTTGATCCTTCTGTTTCTATCTTTGAGAAAATGCTAGTCAAATAACTGTTCTGCAGAAAGTCTTGGACCTAAATATGCTCATTGCACCATGAATTTAAAGCAATTTATTCGTGAAGCTTGTGTAACCTCCTTTTCACTGTATGCTGCCTGAGGAGCAACATACTATTGATGAAGTCAGAATCACTGATGAGCCTATTTTGTTAAAAAAAAAAAAAAAGCCAAACTTTTGTCTTGACAATGTGCAAATGTTTGTTGCCAGTTGTCAGTTTTGCAGAGTTATTTGATACACTGTAAGCCTTGTACGTTCATAATGTTGCCCATTGGTCTGCGTGCTATTTCCTGTTGTGTTTCTTTTTCTTAACTCAGTTTCAAATGTCTGCTTTGGTGGTAATGTCTGAGTTAGTTACACACATCTACTGCATTAAACACATTTTATGCATCTCTCTACTAGGTATTAGAAAGCCTCTTTCTTTTAAGTCCTATGCTATTGCTTTCCATGAGTGGTGCAAAGGACAAGTGAGTGAAAACATCATATGTCTGTGTATGGTATTTCAGTATTATAAGCCCCAAAACATAGAAGTGGATGGGTCAGGAGGAGAAGAAGACTTGTTCGTGGAAAATTGGTGAACTACTTCTAATGCTTTAGTCGCTCAAAATTGATCTCACTGAAAATACAATGCAGGGCTAAGAATGCATTTTGGATAAATATGATTGTCCTGCTACAAGACATTTTAAAACCACATTTTAAAATACTTTTTCAGTGAATTCACTTTCAGTATTTGCAGTTTGTCTATTTTGCTTTGTGTGGGAGGCCTCTGGAGAGAACCAGTCCCACCTAATGCCATGAATAGCTCAAGATTTCATTCCATTTCCGGATTAGTTCTGAAGTCAATTTCTAACCTGCTAGATTTACCGGGTCTTATTCCTAAGCAACTTCTCTGGTCATGAACAATCAGAAAAGAATGATGCACCTCATGATCATGAAACCTTATCTGCTCTCAGAAAATAACATTTAACAACTTCGTTTGGGTCCAGTGAAAATGAGTAACTTAGTTGGGGTCCACACTTAAAATAGCTGTCAAAGCACTCAGGATCCACTGAGGCTAATTGTCTGAGAGGTTCTAGTTACAAATTCTGATGATAACTTACAGTACAGAGCTTGTTTACCCTAATTTTACAGTTGTTTGTAGTAAGAAACAACTCAGTGTTTTTCATATTAGCAATGAGCTTTAACTTGAAGAGCTACTGAAACGCAGCATTTTAAACCCCAGTGGAATAAACACCACTATTTTCTATTGCAATTAAGACAACAGTGGAATAATGAGAAAGTAATTAAGCAGGTCGCATACAGTGTGTCTGGTAATGTGGGCTCTAAGGCTCTACCAACAAGAGGAAGAGCTGCTGGACCTTCATTTGCTGGTTCATAGCCAGCAAATGAACTACATGATGCTAAAATATTTCATTCTAGGACAGCACATGAGCACAAAGCAAAGGAGAGATAGGAATAATTATTTCTGTCATCAGCACTAGATCACATACTTGCCACATAAAACGTAATAAAACGTTTGCAGTTCTGTGCCCATCAGCCAGGGATCCCTGCCTCAGGGGGGAAGGGCAGCTTCTACCAGTGTCTGCTCTCCCTTGGCTACAGGAGCCTTGCTGACAGCCAAGCACAGTATTCTTTCTGAGCCTGCTTCTCCTTTGAGGGCAAACTTCTTCCTCTCAGCTGGGCTAATTTCCAGATTGCTGTGCAGCAGCTTCTGTAGAAGACAGCTCATCTCCCCACTCCCCCCGCCAAAACCGGTATTGCAAATTTTCAATACCTCCTCCTCCAGAACATTTCTGAAATCTTGCAAAAATGAAAAACCAAAACGTTTTAGAGCAAGCACAATTTCAATTATAGCTATTTTTCAATGTGGAACACCAGATTCCTATTACTTTCTTCCTAACTAAGGTATATCATAAAAAGAAGTGTAACTTCGACTCTCAAAGTGGAAACTGTACTTCAGACAATGTGCGAACTTTAGGCATCAACTTAGAAAAATGTGAAGGCTTTAACAAAGCACACTATTCTCTGTCACTTAGGGAAGTGGGTAACATCCAACCGGTTGAAAGGCTCATGCAGTTGGTGAATCAGTTACAGGGAAGCAGAAGGAATGAGGGTGAGGAGCAGCTTAGAGAAGGGCTTGTAGACACAGAGACGTTCAAGAGGGCTCATGTCTAGACAGTGATCTCCCTCTGCACTTCGTGGAGGAAGAAAAGATCCTTCACAGCAGAACCTGTGTAGCTGCCCTAAACCACCTTGGCCTATGTTGTGAATAATACATCCCTTCCACCAAAAGCAGCCTTTTTCTCTCAGGAAAAGGGAAAAAAAAGGTATTGCAGCTGCTGCCAGCCACAGTAGATGTGAGCAAGTGTAGGTTTCTCATACACTAAGGATTTTAGATCTTAATTAAAAAAGAAAATAAAATCCATAAGCTATTGTATGGCAAAATATGAAATAAACCTTACTATGCATTGCACAGAACACTGTATTTCTGGATGATATCTTTTTTATGCTCAAAGGCAGATTTAACCTACTTCAAACAGGACGAATTCTCTATCAATGAATCTTGCATGTCCAACTTGAATTTCTTGAAGTTTGAAATTGAGTTTGTTTAACAAATGGACAAAAAAAAAAAGCATAATCATGTTTTTCTCCTCATCAGCCTTAGTACTGAATGAAATTTAAATGTCAAAACCATTTTTATGGTTCAGGTTGAACAATATAGAAGCCTGAAACCCTTAGTTATGAGTCACGGTAATAAGTATTTTCCCATTATAATATAATCAAAAGAAGCTCAAAATTTCTTTTCTCACTCAACTTTTAGTTAAATTTCAGCAAGTGATTAAAGTAAAGCCTACAATGTTGATCACTGATACATATTTTGATTACAGAGTGCTGATGAATAATATCTGCAAAATTCTAGCTACTCAGTATTGCCTGACATGAAGACACAGTCCTAGAAGTTTACATTTTGCGTAGTTGCACACGCTCTTTTTTCTAAGCATGTCACTAAAAAACCTGAAGCCTTTTAGATCCACAATTGATGAAGAAAAATCTCCAGTCAGAAGCAGTACAGAAAAATCAAGCAGACTGAATGACTGTGCAAAACCCTGGTCAAATCTGTAGGGAGCATTAAGCACTGGGCAGCTGCACAGAAGAAAACAAGAGCTGCAACTTGGGATCTTCCCATCATTTCTCAGTGCATGCCATTGTAATTGCCACAAGTACCAGATCTTTGAAAGCAAAATGCAAATACCAAACAATTATCTTGTTGTATCATGCCATTCTGGCATGATATTAGTGGAAGAAAGGAGGAAGATGGTTTAGCTAATCTGTAGCATTGCTGGTTTAGCAGAGCTGGAACACTTTCCAGCAGAAGCTCCTTGGTTGAC